ATTCAAAACCCTCAATTAATAACAAAGTCATCAAACCTTTGCAGCTAGAAATAACCGCTCAATGACCTTCTGATCCACAAGGTTATCATCCACGGCTACTGGTGGTGGAGCTGGTAAGATTCGCGGCAAACTTCTCTGAGGCTATATACCGAACAGTGAGAGTGCAAAGAAAGAAAATTATCAGAGATGTTCGGCTTCTGGAGGGAAATTCATTTGCCGATTAATATGCCCAACTGTTATGATTTTGGTCCAGGCCCATTATCAGGCCCAATTTCGCCTAATTACAAACGGGCCATTTACAAATATACCCCTAAAATTATGACCTTTTGAAAAATCATATGAAAAATATTTTAGAAGTAAAAATATTGTGAAGGTGACACAATGTCGCTTTTTAAAGTTAAGTATTATTTTTTATTAAAAAATGACATACAATTTTGCTTTTATTAAAAAAAATGTTTATTACTAAAAAAAGTGACAAAAATTTTAAGAATATTATAGGAAAAAAGTGACAAAAATTATAAAAAGGCACAAAAATTCCAAAAAGTGATAAACATTCAAGAAGTGACAAAACACTAATCAAAACCTTATAATCAGTTTAATAAAGTGACGACTAAAAAAGTGATATCAATCAAAACTTTGGAATCAATTCAATAAAGTGAAAGAAATTAAAAAAAAGATAAAAACTAAAAAAAAGTAACAACACTAAAAAAAAGTGATGAAACACCGATCGCTTTTTTGGGTGAATTGTATCACTTTAGAAAAACAAAAAAAAGTGACAACAATAAAAAAAAGTAATGAAACCCCGATCATTTTTTTTGGGTGAATTGTATCACTTTTTAATAAAAAGTTCGGTATAATGTCACTTTTAATATCACGTTTTAATTAAAAAAAACATATAATATCACTTTCATTAAAAAGTGAAGTGAAATACAATGTTACTTTTATTACAAAGTGACAACATTCAAAAAAAATGATGAAAATTAAAAAAAAAAATGACAAATACTAAAAAGTGATAAAAATTCAAAAAAGTGACAAAACACCAATCAAAACGTCAAGCATCTTTAAATGAATTTATCATTACTGTTATCTACTAACTCAACTGTTTACACAACCACTATTCCTACGCTTTCTCCGTCACCACTACTACTATTACTAGCAGACCAAAGTCTAAGCACAAAAAACTATAAATGTAAAACAAAAGAAAAACGAACTCAAACATGGACGTATTTAAAAAATTAACAAACACTAAAAAAGTGACAAAAAAAAAAAAGGAAACAAAACACTAGTCAAGACCTTAAATTATATCATTTTATACAACCTCAACCACTCTACCACCACTTTACCTTCTCTACCACAACCACTCCAATATCCAAGGCTCCGAAACCATTTCTACCTCCTTTCTCCAATACCTGAATATATTTGAAAACTCTGCAATTATAAATGCTCAACTCATAGAAAAAGTTCATATTTTGATAATTAACCCTTCAGCAATTTCGTTACTTTCATTGTTCTTTTGTTGAAGGCATATGTAAGTATTTTATCTCGACTTTCAATTTTTGCAGCAAGCAGCTTAAAATAACCTCAGATCCCATCATCCCGACCACCCTGGTCTTGGCACCTCGGTCGTATGCAACAGTTCAATGGTTTGTCCATCGCTGCACACCTAGTCATCCAAAACCCAATCTAACGTTAGCTCGTCAGCCAAAACGCCAAAAGTAGGAACATGGACCAGATCAGCGCAATGCCATCAATGTTGTTGCAGTGGCGTGCACCGTGTTTGTGGTCTCTGTTCTCAATTGGGAGATTTTAGGATTTTTGGGGTTTTGTTTTAATTTAGGACGTAATTAATACGGTTTTATGTGATGTTTAATTAGTTTAGGGTATTAATCTAATTGAGTTACTTTTTAGAGTATGGGGCCTAATTTCCCCATTACAAACATATAAGGTCCAATCTAGGTAATTTTACTCAGCAGCCCAATTTTTTATTTTTAGAAACCTATTTGCTTGTAAGATTCTTTAGGCTTAACCAACCAAGCTCAATGTAATAAACTATCGCTAGACATGTAAGATGAGACTGCACCATCAAATCCCAGCGGCCAGCATGGCTCGGACCACAAAACTTCATATATTTTATGAAATCAATAAATTTTATCAACTTTTTAATCATATTTCATCATTATCTATTAAAAATATATATTTTTAGCCAAACTAAATAAGGACTCAATATGTAATGTTGAAGTTCAAAAGAGACAATGTCAATTTTGATCGACTTAATTAATGATTTGTACGAGGTAATCTACTGAAATAGTAAAAAAAAACACTTTGCATCAGTTGAAGTGCATCGGGTGTATACATTAAGAATACTTGGCCGTTTAAAGTCACATCAGTACAATATTACCCTTAAAATGCTTGCCATTGTCCAAAATTTGAGACATTTTGATTGGTCGTCAAGGTCGGCTTAAACAGTTTATGATGATATCGGGATAACGAATAACCACTACTGACTTGTGATTGGCTGGAAAGGATAGTGCAATTATCACTATTGCCACTTGTCTCTTTAAGATTGGTTGAAGGAGGAATGATGATATGTAAGGACGAATTAAGCAAGTCGTTATGATTATGATCCTTAGATGGTTACGGTATATGGGTGAGCTAACCAATCGATGTGCGAGTCGAACTCCAACATGTTATAAGAACTCATTAAACTCAAATATGCAATTTGATCATATTAAAATTCAAAGGAGCGCACGGATTTCAAAATTGATATTTTCAAATGAATGATCATTTTGCGGGAACGTGTTAGTAAATAAATAATACGTTGATTAAATATCGAAATATAGATCCATTTATAAGATTCGGAATAGAACATCAAAATACTTCACAGATCATGTCTGGACTTCTAGACAGTTTATTCACCTCACTTGACATGTCTGGACTATGGTGCAATGATCTCCACCGATGAAAAGTAGAAGATGTTATGATAAAGACTTGGATTGGAGGGGGAAAATTTGGAAATGTGGCGTACGAGTACAGGGCAATTTATTGTAAAATCTTTATCTAGTGCGATGGGACAGACATGGAGATTTCTAGTGCGATGGGACAGACATGGAGAGGTGTTATTGAAATATGAATTTCTCAACTACTTTAGGGAGTGGGACCAAGCCACAATTACTTTTTCTTTATTTATTTCTCAATTTTTACCCTAAATTGCTTTTTGAAAAATACAGTTCGTGAAGCAAGGTATAAAGAGATTGAGAAAAAATGATATTTTGAATAGTGATTTTTTCAAGAAGAAAATTTTTAAATTTACGTGTAAAATATTTTAGAGTATGTTTGACAATCATTTTGATAGAAAAAAAATTAAATAGTGATTTTTAGGAAAATGCGTGATTAAAAAGTAAGATTTTTTTTTGTATATATGTAGAATATTTTTATAGTGTGAATATGTGATTGAAAATAGTCATATAAAAAATCATAAAATAAATTAAAAAGTGTCAAACTAGTATTTATTGCGTGAATACGTGATGGAAAATGGATATGAAAAATAAAGAGTTTTGAATTAAAATACTTTGCTTCATTTATTAATGGAGCCTTAAATAAAATTTAGGGATAATTGCAACAAAAGCCCCAAATCTTTGAATCACTAGTAGATTTTTCCCAAACTTTTAATTTATTGTAGCTGTCACCCCTAACATTTTTAAACGTTATAGGTGAGGTCCTTTTGGATGGTTTCCGTCAAAAATGTCGTCAGTTGACCCAAAAAATTGAAGTCTGACCATTTTTTACCAACTAAATAAGGGTAAAACGGTAATTTTATAATATTACTATATAATTCAAAAAATTTAAAAAAAATGAAAAGGAAAAAGAAAAATTTAAAACTTTCTTCCCCTTCTTCTCCAACCCAACGCCCCCCCCCCCCCCCCCCCCTACCAAGCCACAATTACTTTTTCTTTGTTTATTTTTCAATTTTTACCCTAAATTGCTTTTTGAAAAATACAGTATGTGAAGCAAGGTATAAAGAGATTGAGAGAAAATGATATTTTGAATAGTGATTTTTTCAAGAAGAAAATTTTTGAATTTACGTGTAAAATATTTTAGAGTATGTTTGACAATCATTTTGATAGAAAAAAAATTAAATAGTGATTTTTAGGAGAATGCGTGATTAAAAAGTAAGATTTTTTTTTTTGGCATATATGTAGAATATTTTTATGGTGTGAATATGTGATTGAAAATAGTCATATAACAAATCATAAAATAAATTAAAAAGTGTCAAACTAGTATTTATTGCGTGAATACGTGATCGAAAACGGATATGAAAAATAAAGAGTTTTGAATTAAAATACTTTGCTTCATTTATTGATGGAGCCTTATATAAAATTTAGGGATAATTGCAACAAAAGCCCCAAATCTTTGAATCACTAGTAGACTTTTCCCTAACTTTTAATTTGTTGTAGCCATCACCCCTAACATTTTCAAACGTTATAGGTGATGTCATTTTGGATGGTTTCCGTCAAATATGCTGTTAGTTGACCCAAAAATTTGAAGTCCGACCATTTTTTACCAATTAAATAAGGTTAAAACGGTAATTTTATAATATTACTATATAATTCAAAAAATTTAAAAAATGAAAAGGAAAAAGAAAAATTTAAAACTTTTTCCCCTTCTTCTCCAACCCAACGATCCCAACCCTACCCCTCGACCCCCCCCCCCCCAATCCCAGCCCCCCCAACAGACCAAGAAACCCCTTTTTTTAAAAAATTAAAAAAATTTAAAAAATGAAAAGGAAAAAGAAAAATTTAAAACTTTTTCCCCTGCTTCTCCAACCCAACGATCCCAACCCTACCCCCCCCCCCCCCCCCCCCCCAATCCCAGCCACCACAACAGACCAAGAAACCCATTTTTATCTCTACCAACGGCCAAATTTAGGGATAATTTCTCGGGAAGAGATTCAAAAGACCGAAGGGGTACTAGATCTTCTCGGGATTGGTTGGACATGGATCATGGATGATGGCGAAGATTACTTAAGGCGAGGTGGTTGTGGCAAAAGAAACAAAAGCAGCTGGTCTAGAAACTCTAGAAGAGGTGGCAATGACGGGCTAATTGGCAATAGGTGATCGGTAATGTCTCCATCTTTCAGATCAGGGCGGTCCCATCTTTTGGAAGTAACGACAAGCACTTTTACCCATATCACCATTCCAAATTTCTTTCTTCACTTGCTGGGTACTCAAGACTTAGAAAACAGATTATACTTCTTTATTAAATATTGAAAAGCTTGTTTTTAAATCCTAATAATCATGGATCCTGATTTAGAATAGTCTTAAAATAATTAATCCCGGTTAGCTTTTCTACTGACTACTGGGCAGAGATAAAGATGGGTTTCCTGATTTGTTGTGGAGGCTGGGGCGGGGGCAAGGGGTAGGGTAGGGTTGGGGAATAAGGGGAAGAAAGTTTAAGTTTTTCCCTTTCCTTTTATAATTTTTAAATTATATTAAATGGTGATATTATAAAGCTACAATTTTGCCCTCATTTAATTAGTAAAAAATGGTTAGACTTTAATTTTTTTGAGTCAACTGACGGCATTTTTGATGGAAACCATTCAAAAGAGTCTCACCTAAAACGTTTGAAAATATTAGGGGTTACGGCTGCAATAAATCAAAGATTTGGGAAAAGTTTGCTAGCATTTCAAATGTTTGGGGCTTTTGCTGTAATTATCCCTAAAATTTATTATTTGTGTTATATTTTTAAAATAGTACAAAATTGTAATTCTACCTTATATGACGACGTGATTAATATTTTTTCTTTATTTCAGCATATCTTGTTGCTTGATTCCCAAATTTTTATAGCTCTCGACAATTAATATATATTCAAATTACTTCATTTATATTTGATACCTTGCCTTAAGCAATGGGATGCGATCTTTATCTTTTGCTTTCTCTCTTCTTCCTTTTTGAAACAAACACGTTAAAGTATTATTGGACTTTAGTTTGATCTCCATTATTTTCAAAATATATTTTTATCTACTTTATTTTAATCACATATTATTCAATAAAATAATATTACATGTAAATACAAAAATTTTTCATATTTTTTAATCATACATTTTTCATCAAATCACTATTTCAAAATACATTTTTAATAATAATAATAATAATAATAATAATAATAATAAGGCTCAAACATGCTCTAAATTATTACAATTATATTAGGGTACAAATGGCAACATGACTATGAATTTTGCAGGTAATTGAGAAATTATTATTGACGTAAAAAGCTTTGCTTTTCAATTGCAATCCATTTTTTATTTTGTTCTATTAACATTCGAGTAGTAAGATGATAGTCCCTTGTAAAAAGTCGATAATCATTCGAAAAGTCAGTACTTAAATTGATCAAAAGTCAACTCACCTAAGTGAACATCATTTTTCACAAATAACGTCAATTTTTAGAATAATATTGTGACAAATTCCTTTAGGAATGATAAAAAATTCATCATATCCCATACCATGGGACTCTGGGATGAGGATTTCCCGCTTAATTGACTATACAAGATGGGGGTTGTTGATCGAGACGGTGGCAGTTAAGGGCAACATAACCCGCACCCCGTTTAAAATTCATTTCAAAATACAAATTTTTTATCACACAAAAAGGAAAAAATCATCATCATTTTCTAGAGGAAACATGAATTTCTCTAAAATTTGAAAAAAAAAATGTAATAATTTTCACTAACCAAAAACATAAAAATAAAAAAATGAGAGTAAAAATTTTTAAAAAAATAAATGAGACGGTAAGCGGGACATGAAACTCTTTTCGCCCCGCCTTAATCGAGTACGAGGACGACACAAAGAGACAAACAAACTTAATGGGGTGGGGAACGAAAATGACTACCACAACCCTAATCCGCGATGTTGCTACACTTGCAAATGGATAAGCCTCATATCAAGTGTCAATTATCTCGACATAATTTAATTCTTTGTCCGTTAATATTAAAAACGTTTTCTTGTTTCCCAAACTATAAAGCACGTTGATTTAATTTGCCTTTCCTCTCTCTCTCTCTCTCTCTCTTCATAATTTAGTTAATTTCAAAAATGTATTTGCACGAGAGTCCCTATTCCTGGCGTCGGACTCACTCCGAGTGTGGCCTACAAAATAAATTATCCCATGAATAGTTTTCCTTTCAAATGGGCCCATGAAATACTTTGTGGTAACCTTAGGGCCAATAAAATAACAAGGGCTTCATTTATTTATTTTTTGGTTTATAATTATATTGTTAAGTTTGAATAGACGTGACAATAAATCGATAGTTTTTGGGGTTTTCCCCTAAATTAGATTTTGTAACTTGTAAACACGACTTTTTCCATGTACCTATATTTTTTAAATTTTACGAGGTATTTGACTATTTTGTTTAATATGGATTTAATTGCACTGAAATTAAAAGTTTAAAAATCTGAAAATTATATATTAAAAAAATAAAAATTGATCGAGGACCTAAGTGCTCTAAATAGTAATATTAGAAGACAGCCCTTAATAATTTCTTAATTAGCCTTTTCGATGTTTTTCTTCTCTGTTTGACCCCTGACCCAAAATCAGTGGTCAGACAAAGTAATCGACACCATGTTTTCTTGAAATTACTAAATTTACCATCATTCTCATAAGTATTATCGTCCAAATTAGGCCCCAAAATCGTCATTTCAATTAGCCTTGTTCTTTATAAGAAGGGGGAGACTGGCGCATCATTCGTGTTGGCAGAGAAGCGGTGATGCGTGGAAGCAGGTAGCGGTGCAAATGGCCAGATCGCCCCAGAACAATCTCATCCTCCTCCTCCTTTCCCTAGTTCCTCGTTTTCATCAATTTCTCTACAATTATTAGTTTATTACCGAGTAAAACTCTAGCTGGATTGCTCTGTTCTCGAGACTATCCTTCTACAGGTGTGATTTTCTACCTGCATTCTGATAACAATAATTGATTTTGGATTTCAGATTTGAATCATGAATGATTATGAATTGGATGATGAGTTTATCGTGTTTTTTCATGTTCGGTTGGTTGAATTAGGTGGTAGAATGGCGGTGGCGAAGCTGTTGTACATAATCGTGGTAGAGGATGATGCGGAAACGGAGAAGGATACTGCGTTTCGATACACGCGTTCCGTTCTGCAGAGCACTCTGCAACTCATGGGATGCAAGGCTCGTCACGCCTTTAAGGTCTCTGCTTTTTCTTTTATTCCCCCTATTGCATAAAATGTTATTTTAAATCTTCTTTCCCAATTTAACAAACTTACAGGATAGCGTCTATCTTTGTCCACGTGCATGGCCTGAAAAGTACACACAGAGTGTGTGCTCGCATATGTGCAGATACTCGCGTATGATTGTCTGTATCTCTGTTTTATGTAACCGCATGTTTTTTGTGTGTGTGTGAAATGAATAATCAGATTGAGAAGGGAACTGAGGAATTTGATATTTTTCCCCCCTGAAATCAGGAATTTGAGATCTTTGATTGAACAGAAAATCTTTGTTGTAGTGTTGACATGATGTTCGCATTTACTATGTATAACGTTAAGGGTTACCAAAATGGACCAGTTCTCAATACTAGCCCCCTAGTTTCTAGTTTAAGTTCTGTATTTGTAATCGAAACGAACAGTGATTATATCGAAATCTTAGAAGCTTCAAAATTTGCATTTTGTGATTTGCTTACAGGTTAGGGATAGATGCGATGTCCATTATTTTTCTTGTGGTTATGACAATTGACATATTCAGCAGCTCTGGCATTCCTATATTAATTGTACATGTTTCATTGATTTGATTGCTTTAGTATTTATGAATTAATAATGTGGCTTGGCAGTTGGAATTCTAGTGATTTGCATTCAAAAAATTGATGTCTTCATTGGCCGTGTGGCCCGTGTCAATGTACTTCAAAAAAACTCATAACACTTGTATGCTATTATTGGCATGTTTAGATTTTCATGAGCTTAAAATTTTGGTGATCCAATCCAGCCAAATTGCATTAATGAGGATGCTGCGTAATAGATCGAATTAGGAAATATGCACTGAATTCATGTAACCCAATCTACATATATGTTGGAGCATATCAAAAGGCCTGCATTTAAAATCATGGTTTGGTTTCAAATTAAGTCCAGGCGTCTTTTGTTATTTTCCCTTCTTTTGTAATTTCCTTTTTAAGTCTGTTTTTTGGCACATGTTTTGGTAATGCATCAATGATCTTTCTGAAGTTATCCTGAAATTCCTTCTTTTTTTTTAACAGATTAGCCGGAGAATATTTGAAATGGTGAGAAGTGCATGCCTGGCAGATAAGTTGGTTTCAACATGTGAAGAAGTGTCACGCCAGGATGCTAAAATATATAACCAGAGGGAGGTAGAGTATTATGCTGATGCCTGCTTGGATAAAGCAGATCTTGTTGATCATTTGGTTTCAGAGGAAGAAAAAAATAAGAGCAAACCATTTGAATTGTACAAAATACGCACCACTGCAGTTGTCAGGAGAAAAAAATTCCTAGATGTTGCTTCTGAAGCTCTTGCAGAGTACAAGTATGTTGGCCCAGATCAGAGGGCTGATTTGGCTATAGCTTGCAGGTACAGTTTGTGTCTTGTTCTCATTTTGAATTGAGTTTGACTTCAATCTGGACATTAAACGCTCTTAATATGAAAAAGAACATCTTTCTGTCTAACTTGTACGGTCAAATTGTTGTTTTTTGGTTGTAGTTTATCTTTCAACTGTTTTTGCATTTCAAATACAAGCTTGATGAGAAATTGAGTGGCAATTAAATGTAGGTTTAACTCATCACTTATAGCGAATTAATAGTAGGGGTTCACCCTGGACTTGTTCTGACTTCTGACATACCCTTGAGTTTGCTGACAAGAGTCAAAAGCGCTGCAATGCTAAGAATTGTTTTTTCTGATGCTTTGTGTGAATTTCCTACACTAATTTCATGTCTTATTTTATCTTTACTTGAGGAGAGTTCTGGTTATTCATGGGTTCAATAACTTTGGAACGACTAGTCAGCAAATATGACTGCCTTCATTTGCAGCATTCTCGGTCGTGATTTAAGATAATACAAATCAGATACCTTATGAGTTTTGTGCAAGTAGTTTTAATGCCAGGAAGTATAAAAGAAGAGTAATGCTATTTATCATTATAACGATGAAACATCGATGATTTGGCAACTTAGGTGGAATAATGAGATATAATAGTTCATCATTATTCATAAAAGAACTAATGAAACTTTTTTCTATTTTTAAGTTTTTTTCCCAAAATATATTTGGGCGTTTGGCATTGAAACCTACCTTGACTGTTGATTAAAAATTTTGTACGTGGGGGATGTGTACCAAACTTTCTCCAAAGGTACAAAAGAGGAGAAAAGAGAACTTGCAAAAAAATTCTAAACTTGGTAGTTCTATTACCATTGTATAGAACTTTGTAGAAAACATAATCTTCAGGGTACCACTCCGATTTCAAAAATATCCGGCACACAGTATCAGAGAGCTGGAATGGCCCAAGAGATCAAAACATCACAAAATAAACGACAAATACACCCATATAACAAGCATGTAGGAGCAATCTATATGAACAAAAAAACCACATGTGAAAACTAGATGATGCAACCCATGGACACGAATGTAAACAAGTATTGCCTAAAAAGCAGCCAAAACTGAAAGCACAATTAAGGAGCACCAATTAGTTATCATGCTGTGTCTCTCTCCTAAAAATGTGCATGCCACGGAGCAACCATTAGCAAAATGCACACAACAAAGGTCAAAGAATACAATTTGGCCAAAGCCAGTTATCTAAGGGATCTTCCACCTGCAACTTTATTCACTGGGGATATCGTAGATAGGTCCATCATTTGAGGTATGCCCAAAGTACTTGTGATGGATTCCTCATCAGAGTTTCTTTTGGAACTAATGACCTGTTATTGAAAAGAATATTATTGTATTTACTATCTCATGTTCTTTTTATGGTTGTTCCTTGATTTGATCTTTTTGAAGAACTTATATAGTTATTCTCGTGGTATGATTCAGCTTGCTTTATTATGAATTGAATGGATGCATTCATGTACCCAAAAAAGAGGAAAAAGGGAAAGCCAAAATGATGGGTTCTTGTTATTTACAAAATGTGCATTCTCTTACAGGAGAATGTGTTCTACTTTGTGACTTGTGATAAAATTTGTCACTTGCACTTTCTAAATTCCAACATGACTTTGTTGTTGCAATCTGTTTCTTGGTACTTGTTACATACTGTTTGGAGGTTGGTTTGTGCTTTATTCTTTTATTGCTATTTTTGCATGATGTTGTTATTTGATCATTTCAGAATCCGAGAACGAAAGGAATCTGTTACTGTACTATTGTGTGGCACAAGTGGCTGTGGTAAATCTACTTTGTCTGCTTTGCTTGTAAGTTTCTCTGTCTGTTGCTAATTTCCCATTTTTCTGTTGTATCTGGTTTCTGGAGTTTAGTCCATTACAACAATTTAATTTTGTGGTTTTGGTCTATGAGTTCAAGCAAATACCAATATCATTTTGGTTTGTCACAGTTGTGAATACAGGTGTCAAGATTATGATTGCATTGGCGATCTACTAATACAGTATATATTTTCATTTATTTGATATGCAGTATACATGGCAAGTTCTTTCAATTGTTTCAATGCTGATTTAGTTTTAGTTGGCTATTTCTTTGCTTTAGTATACGTATACCTAACAATCAACTAAGAGATCAAGGCATCAAGGCAAGGTAACTTTGCATTTTATCACAGTTGTAAAATTTAAGTTTCAAAATGTGGTAAATGAGTTTGATTAGTATTTTTTACTTTTTAAAAAATGATCTATTCCAACGTGGTGATGCATCCCTACCCCCTTGCGGGTAAATTTTTCCCTTACTTGTTTTATTTTTAGCCCAAATAACGTGGTTGTATTCCTTGCCATAGACGTGGCAATGATATATGGCTTCGGTGATATTTAGCAGTAATCCGCTTCAAGTCAACGCCAACAAAAAATAGATTGAGCCTTTATCCTTTTTGTAGGGTAGCAGGTTGGGTATTACGACTGTAATATCTACTGACTCAATCCGGCATATGATGAGGAGTTTTGTAGATGAAAAACAAAATCCTCTATTGTGGGCTTCAACTTACCACGCTGGAGAATATTTAGATCCTGTAGCTGTTGCAGAAGCTAAGGCCAAAAGGAAAGCAAAGAAATTAGCCGGTGTTTCAACCTCTTCACTAGCTAGGACTGATGTATCTGTTGGTTCTACCGTTGGAAAATCACCCATTGACGGATGTTCCACCACCGTTGGTTTGATCAGTCCAAAGCAGATGGCAATTGAAGGTTTTAAAGCGCAAAGTGAGATGGTAATTGACAGTCTTGATCGGTTGATTACTGCATGGGAAGAACGGAAAGAATCAGTGGTGGTGGAGGGCGTTCACTTAAGTCTCAATTTTGTGGTAAAAATCGATACGGCCTTAAATTTGCGAAACTTTTATATCAAATATTAAGTATCTTTTCACTTCCCACCATGAGCTTTTTAGTCTTAATTCATTTTTCCCATGCAGATGGGGCTTATGAAAAAACATCCTTCAATCATACCTTTCATGATTTATATTTCAAATGAGGAGAAACACCTAGAAAGATTTGCAGTCCGTGCGAAGTACATGACCCTAGATCCTGCTAAAAACAAGTATGTTAAATATATACGAAACATCAGAACAATTCAAGAATATCTCTGCAACCGAGCTGATAAGCATTTGGTGCCAAAAATAAACAACACAAATGTTGATAAAAGTGTGGCAGCCATTCATGCAACAGTATTTAGCTGCCTAAGGAGGCGAGAGGCAGGAGACCAGCTTTATGATCCAATCACAAACAGAGTTACTGTCGTTGACGAGGAGTACAGAAATCAGCGTGCTGCCAATTCCTTGAGTTCCAAGGGAATGTTTCAGTTGATCCAAAGGAAAGGTTCTAGCAGGCATTTGATGGCACTTTTGAATGACGATGGATCTGTGGCTAAGGCTTGGCCAGTTAACATAATAGATGAAAATGGAAAGCCAATTGTGGGCCAGCCTATTGAGAATGGAGTAGGAACACCTGCCTATGGACCATTGCAGATAGATAGAGCTGAATCTGTCAACTTGCAGTTCGGTAATTTTGGCATCAGTGCTTGGCCCAGTGACACTGGGGGTACTAGTCATGCCAGTAGTGTGGATGAGTCAAAGGGTTACCAGACTGACAATGGTAGTAAATATTATTCGTCTTGCTGCAGTTCACCCAGATTCTCAGAAGGGCATGCAAAGGAGGTGGGCTTTAATCAATGATTTATCTTTATAGTGGAGAAGTTAGTCAATCCGTTTTCTTGTTTATTATATCTTAAACAACATATGGAATTATAATGATTGGATACTGGCCCGGGTTAAATGGAAGTTTCAATCAACTTCTATAATCATGTCATATCATGGCTCTGGTCATTCTTTTTGTATTACTTTATTTATCTGTGTTCCTTTTCTAATTTTTCTCCTTTTACTTTTTTTTGCAGCTTAAGGAAGAAAACTCAGTGCATGGTAGTGATGAAGATGTTGACGAGCAGCCTGAGATAGACAGCGATGAGGATCTTAGTGATGGGCGAAAACAGAACCAAGAAGAGGTAAGGATGTGTCATCAGTTTATTCAAAGAATTCACAGAACATAGCATTTATGATTTTTTTGATCTTGACCGAACTGGAGTAAATTGTTTTTATCTTGGTATGAGAATGTTTTGATACGACAAGTGTGTCTAAGTATTAGCAGATATATATGAGAGTTCTATGAAGTACCTTTTAGTTTGATTGTCGTAGCTCCCAGGTAAATGGCAATGCAAAAGTTGCAAGTTGTTTCTACCTATGGCTGATGTGTTGGAATTCTCTGTTGTCAAGCTTTTTTACCTTTTATCATTAACAGCATCATATTTAGCATCAATTTTTAAACAAACTATTTTTATTCATTTAAATTTTTATTTGCAGTTGGAAGGCTCAGTGGATGAGGAATCCACCAAATCTGACGAGGAATATGATGATCTTGCCATGCAAGATATCCCGGACGGCAGCTATGTGTCTGATAATGAAGAGGAGTCCAAGAATAAGACGGATTTCAATAATGTAGTATCAACTACAAATGTCGTTAATGGGGATAAGTACCAACAAAATCTTGACCTTTTCATGCGAACCAAAAGTGAACCATTATCAGAGGCACTGTCCGGTACTTTTCCGTATCCCCGCAGAGAGAAAAACGAGAGCAGAATGCCACATCATGGCAATATCAGGTTGAGAAAACGCTCTCATAGCATTCCAGCCTTGGGAAAGCAGGGGTCACTAATAACCGTTACGATGGTTAAAGATGAAGTTCCTAGTAATCGAGCAGTTTTTTGAGTTTCTCGTCTTTCCCTTTCATGTTCTTTTTGTAGCTTTGCAGCAATCACCTCGTGGTGTAAAGAATTAGTTGGATAGATGAGTTTCTGTACATGGATTGCCCTGAGTTTTGTTGTGTTCTTAAAGTTCGAAATTTATTCCTAGCTAGGTATTACAATTAATTGGGCCAATCAGTCAACCCCTAGGCAGGGTTGTACTTGTATCTGGATCGGATCTGATGAATTCAGTTTTTAGTACGCGAAGATGCTAATCGAGAATTACCTAGTTGAAAGTTGAAATGATTCCTAGCCACATCTATTGGACCTGTACGGTAACATATCTACTCGGGAACCTTTCTTTTCATTTCATAGCCAACTTAGAACGTTAGGACTTCTTGACACATTCATAATTTAACCGAAGAAATTCTGGAATTGAGACAAGATTCATACACAAGATTTGATTAAACAACTTTTACTCGTTTATCTTTGTTGATTAGGTTCATAGGGAAGGGCACAGATTTACACAGACGTGTAAAATAACCAGGGAGTAGAAGCTTAGAAGCACAAAATGGATGGACAAAAACATGAATACAAGGCCTAGCTGAGAAACTCATTCGTTTCAATTTGATAGATATAATAACATTTCAACCTTTGTGCAACACCAGTTGTCATTTCACTGGAAAAAGAGAATAAATTAATTACGTAAAGATCTTTATAAGACCAGTCCATCAAACAATTGTTGGGAGTTTCCCAAGGTGCTCTTTAGTATTGCTGCATCATATGGAGGAAACATGTATAACATCATTAGAAAAATGAGAGATTCAAATTGAAATGCATCAGATAGTAATCCACAAACCCTGCCACGCCTTTAGGTCCGCCCATGTAAAGCAAGGAGTTGAGAATGAACAGCTGAACCAAAGTCACTTTCGGAACCATACTTCCTAATCCAGTACTCAAACATGCAGCACCAACAAAACATGAAATGCTATGTCGGATCTTTCACTGGCCATCAGGGACCAAGTGGCAAGGCCATATGCCAGGGGAAGAATCATTCTTCCATTAGGGGGATAGGTGCACAAACAACAATTGCATATGTCACGCATCTACGGCATACTTACCATTTAGGTGACAAGGTCATGCAGCAGCTGCTCTCGTGCGGTCTCATGAACTGAACTTCATTTCCTCCCTTAGTGACAGCGAATGGGCACTGTTTCAGGCCGGAGACAGAATAGGGTAAATTCCCCAAGCAAACAATTGGATTCCATTTCTTTGTAGAGGATCCACTCAACAGCACAATCGAGAAGCATGCCATATCAACAAAAATCTCACTGAGTTCTATTATAGGCCTAAAAGGTCTTAATGCCTAACATACTGGGAAGCAGTTGCATTCCAGCTTCATCAACCCTTTCTATTCAGAATATGTATATCTGTTATCAGGATATACTGCATTAAACCATCTGCAGAAACCAACCTTAGACAGTAACAATCTCTAACACGAACCAACCTTAGACCAAAACAATCTCTAATTCATTCAATTCCCTTACTTTGCATTTCTTTTATGAAGTCTTTAGCAGTTTCCAACTCTCCCATGTTAGAAATATGACTAGCCAGAATCCCATAGGTATCGACATTCGGACAGATGCCTTCTTCTTTCATTTTACAAAATATTGAAAGAGCCCTATCCACATCTCCTACTCTACAATACCCATGTATAACCAAATTATATAAATGTGCACCCACTATAAAACCCTTCTGGTGCATCTCCAAAACAATCTTTTCGGCTTCTTCAATCTTCCCACAACTCGAAAACCCATCAACCAAAAACTTGAATGTCTCCACATTCATATCCACACCTACCCATTTCATCAAATCCAAAATCTTCTCCAACTCCTCAAATTTCCATCTTTTTGTGCATGCATTCACCATTATATTAAATGTAATAACATTGGGCTTTATTCCGCTGCTCAACATCTCATCCACCAATTCTTTAGCCCTCTTTATCTCTCCATTCTTACACAAACCATCAACCACAACAGTCAACGAGAATACCGAAACCTCGATACCCATATCCACCATTCTGTAAAAGAATTCCAATCCCAATTCCAACTTATCACATTTTATTAGTTCAATTAAAATAACGGTGCAAGTTTTTTCATCTATCTGAATCCCATTATTTTCCATGTAATTGAAAGTGTTCACAAACTGTTTGAATCTTTGACAATCAGAATAAACTTTGAGCATCATATTAAATATCTTAGTAGAAATCTTGGATTCTCCACAGTGATTCCGAATGCAAGAAGCTATAGCAGGAAAAGGGTACCTGAGCTTTTCATCCTTAAAGAAAAATCCCAAGAGACGCTCAGCATCTGTGAATTTTCTTTGTTTCACCAGCCTGCAAATGAGGATGAAGTGGGACTCAAGATTTAGCTTGAAATTGATCGAAGATTGGTTTTTTAAGAGGAAATTGAAGAAATCAAGACATTTGGGGAGTTTGAGATGTGGGTCTGAGAGAATGAGATGAACCAGACCGGGGGTGAGCTTGGAAAGGAGAGCAGTGGGGATTGGCTGTGAATTTGAGGGAATTAAGATTGTGGAGATTATGGTGTCACCAATTTTGGCTTTGGGGTTTATGTATGGGGTTTGAATTTGATAACCCTTCACAGTTTTGAGGTTTTGGATGAATTTTTGGATTGACATTCTTGAATTTTGAAAGGAGAAATTGATAGCAGAGTGATTTGAGTTTAATGAAAGGACGTCCCTTTGTCTTTTCTTTTGTTTATACACTGGGGAAATTCCGCGATTGGACTTTAACAAATTGTTTACTTCTTAAAAGGGGAAAAATTCATGGTGAGACATTATGTTTCACGAAATTAAAAAGGTACGAAAAGTTTAGATTTTTAAAATTTAGGTTTTTTCACGATTTAATTAATTATATTTAACAATTAATCTAATAATATTTTTTCTTTAATTTAAGCGTACAGTTAAGATTTCCTAATATAACAAAACACCTCCATAATTACAGATTTGGCTTCATCCCCAGATTAATTTCGAATCTGGACAAAATTGCCAGCAGATTAAACGAGATATCTAGTCACAAATATGATTCCGTCGTCGCTAGTCACATAGTTCCATACAGTGGATCGTTGACGAATGAATAACGATTATTTCGGTCACAAATCGATTAACGTAATCCCCGGTCAGATTTCGATTACTGAACGCAAGTTTCGTCTGGGTTGAAGGTCCAATTGAGTGCGCCAATCAGAAACAAAATGCTTCCATCGCCGACACCGATATTTCCCATTGCCCATCGGTATGTTATGCTATCCCATCGAAGATTATGGTTCCATATAGTTTTCATGAATTTGTGACTCCAATTGATACAATAACAACGCCCAATCAATAATATATGTAACGTTGAGGACAATGATAGCACATCCAGAATGTCGAAGGTCATTTTGTGTTTTGCATGATCTTCCACCTCCGCCATCTTACATATGTGACCTGCATGAATTCAATCCTATTTGTGACTCCAATTGATACAATAACAACGCCCAATCAATAATATATGTGACGTTGATGACAATGATAGCACATCCAGAATGTCGAAGGTCATTTTGTGTTTTGCATGATCTTACATATGTGACCTGCATGAATTCAATCCAAATGATGTCTTCATATATTTGAAATTTGTGTCCTGCATGATCTCATACATATGCATAGAAATACATATGTGACCTGCATTTCATTTCAATTTAACTACTGTCTTCCTACAGTTGAATTCTGTGTCCTGCATGTTCTCCTACCTATGATCCGAAACACATGTGTGACCTGCATGAATTCAATTTAAGTACCGACTTCGTACATTTAATTTTAGAACCCTGAATAATCTCCTAACTGTGACCTGGAATACAACTGTGACCTGCCTGAATTAAATTCAAGTACATACGTCATACATTTCATTTTACAGATTAATGGATGTTCACGTATGTTTGTTGAATGGATCCCAGATATTTGACTCCAATTGATACAATAACAACGCCCAATCAATAATATATGTGACGTTGATGACAATGATAGCACATCCAGAATGTCGAAGGTCATTTTGTGTTTTGCATGATCTTCCACCTCCGCCATCTTACATATGTGACCTGCATGAATTCAATCCAAATGATGTCTTCCTATATTTGAAATTTGTGTCCTGCATGATCTCATACATATGCATAGAAATATATATGTGACCTGCATTTCATTTCAATTTAACTACTGTCTTCCTACAGTTGAATTCTGTGTCCTGCATGTTCTCTTACCTGTGACCCGAAACACATATGTGACCTGCATGAATTCAATTTAAGTACTGACTTCGTACATTTAATTTCAGAACCCTGAATACTCTCCTAACTGTGACCTGGAATACAACTGTGACCTGCCTGAATTAAATTTAAGTACATATGTTATACATTTCATTTTGCAGATTAATGGATGTCCCCGTATGTTTGCTGAATGGATCCCAGATATCAGTGGTTTTGCTAGCTCAGAATTGCACATCTGCGAAGCTTGTTTCCCAGATATCGGTGGTTCTGCTGGCTCGTAATTGCACCTATGCTACACTTGTGGATACTGTAATGACAGAGTTCAATTTGGATCCTACAAAGGTAGCAGTTACAATACAGTATCTACTGAATAATGATTTAGATAGTAAATTATGTATAAAATCAAACTGTGACCCTCAGATTGCAATGCATGACATGTACTCAGACCTGTGACTTGTAAAACTCGTTTGTGTCACCAGTGTAATGTTCACTTATAGTCTGAAAAAAATCTCCACTGAATTGAAAGCATGTGTTACCAGTTCACTACTACATGTGACCACCACAAAGCAATCTGTGACATACAGTAAGACCCTGTGACCTATGAACACATGTGTGACTTTTGACTTGATGTAACATTATGTTAATAACAGTATTCTTGTGACCTACTTACTCCAAAAATATTATCCCCTGTGATCGTGTATAAATCTTATACTACAGTCTGTGACCTGAGTTGCCAAACAATTCCCTATAGTGTTTTCAGTGACCTGATGTAACATCATGCGAATAATAGTATTCCTGTGACCTACATGTTCAAAAATATTATCGCCCGTGACCCTGTTGAAATCCATATAGTGCTCTCTATGACTTCATGTAGCGTTATGTAACTGCTAGTATTCTTGTGACCTCCATACTCCAAACATATTATCACATGTGACAACTGTGACCTGCGTACATACCCAGGCCACTGTGACCGTCATAAACCTGTATCCATGACCTGTGATCATCATACTGCAATTACACAGATGCAAAAGACAACTTCTAATTCAAGTTCATGCCTGCTCACATTAAAAATTGTGCTAATTACTATCAAAAAATTCAATGTACATTTGTCCCAGTAAAAAAAAGATTGCACATTGAAATAGACGATGCCACCAAAAAAAGACAGACACAGACAATCAAAAACTTTACAGAGTTTGATCATTGTTTTCAACTTTTAACAAAACAAATAAAGACAGCCATCACTCAATGAAAATCTCATCTCCTCTTGTATATGCTCCGATGTTTATAAAGCCTTGTGGCAATGTCCAGCCTTGTTCTCCCCGAATCAAATTTGATCGGCATCGAATCCTTATCATCATTCCAAAATGCACTTCCACGATGGAAATCTTGAATGCTACTTCACAATCAAATAACGGTCACAAATGAACTAAACACCATGTGAAGAAATCAGGTCACAGGTAGGGTATAAATCACCAATACATGTGAAAGGTCACATGCATACATTCACATCCAAAATTGAACTTCCACGTAAAAAACCCCCAAACTTCAACACTAGTCCTCGATCAACAAGTTAATTTGTACTCGATAATCTCTTCAACACTATAAAAATATTCACGCATCTTTTTGAGAAATTCATCTATTCTGTCTCCTGTTTTCAGTCAACTTAAAACAGGTTAATGCATATGTAAAATAATTTGTGTACTTAAACAAAAATATTACATAGTCATACACTTGCATACCTAGCATTCTGGATTCTGGACCGCTTGCTTCTGTGATAGAATTAGTGATTGCTAGTATACCTTAGCACTAACAGAAAACACAACAAAAGACTACAGCCTACAGTTATCCACATGATAGGCAGCTTAAGTAATCCAGCAGACGCATCTTTAAAGTATATAAATAACAACATTCTCTATCTATAAGTAATCTAAGTCGAAAGATCGAAGTATTTACATTCTCTAAGTTCAGATTAAAAAATGGAAATAAAAAGGGAATCATTATTTATAATATATGATGTGAAAATTCCTGAATGGAACTTTAAAATCAAGCAGTTTTATGAACAAATAGCAACTTCAGGTGCATAAATAGTCAACTCACCATTACTCAACAAGTTAAACAATATCCAATGCAAATATCCATTTTTATATTGATGATACATAAACAAGGATCAATCTTGGTACTTCAATAGCTGGAAGTGAGACAAAAGATCACAGATATAGTCAAAGAAATCATAGTCGTTCTTACATTTTTGGGTCAGACATAATAGAAAGAGAAATTCAAATTCACATTAAGGCATATCATTGATCATGATAATAGAGTTTCTAAGAAAAATTCACAGGTCAACAAGCTTAATGTGCAACATCCGGATTGGCTTGGTAATTAAATCTCAAGTGTAGAATTTATGAGGTCACAAGTAGGGCTCATCAGGTCACAGGTAGAGTATAAAATACCAATATATGTGTAAGGTTACATGCATACATTCACGTCTAAAATTGAACTTCCACCATAAAAAACCCCCAAACTTCAACACTAGTTCTCAATTACCAAAAAACAGGTTATAAATAAAATGAATAACAACTGAATATAAAATTGCAACTCAACTCATATTTTCCAAACATAACTCCAAAGAAAAAAAAAATTCGTGATAGAATTGATTCTGTGATTTCATAAACACAAATCATAAAAAAATCGAAATGCTTGATAAAATCGACGATTGCCAATTGACCCATGCAGTTACCTTCTTTCTTAACTGAATGCCACTAGACCCGTTCGATTTTTGCCTTGTTGTTGGCATTTTGGGAAGAATTCATAAGTAAAAGGTTTAGTTTTAACAATTTCAAATTTAAGAAATTATGTTTAAAATTTCAAATATTAGAGTTTTTTAAATTTTATATATAAATTAGTTAATTAAACATTTATTTTATTAATTAAATACATTACGTTCACAATTCCATATAATTTGGTCACAAATTCCATATAATTGGTCACAAATCAAATTTTCATATGTCACAAATTATTCTACAGTCACAATTAAAAAATTTTATAGGTCACAATTTGTTCATCGTCACAAATCGAAAATTTATACGTCACAATATATTCATCAGTCACAAATCTATTAAATTCATAAGTCAAAATTACAAACATCACAATTATGGTCACAATATTATATAATTTATAGTCACGATTATGTATTAGTCACAAAATACAGACGTCACAATCACAAAGAACAAATTTTATATATCCCAATTTATTTCTCGGTCACAAATTTAATAAATTAATTGGTCACAACTTATTTTACGGTTTCAAAATATCAAATCAATTGGTCATTAATTATTTTTAGGTCACACATTATCAAATTATTGATCACAACTTAACAAATTTTTAGAT